CATTCAGAGGGCCTCCAGGGACTCCATAGGCTTCATGGGGACCTCCAGGAGCATTCGGGTGGCCTCCAGGGGCCTTTAGGGACGACCAGGAGGCCTTTAGGGGCCTCCAAGGGGGACCTCCACGCACCTCCACAGATATCCAGGGAGCCTCCAGGGACTTCAAGGGGCATCCAGGGGCCTCCAGGGACCTCCAAAAGCCTCTAGGGACCTCAAGAGGGCTTCCAGGGACCTCAAAGTGCCTCTAGGGGGCCTCCAGAGACATCGTGGGGCCCTCTAGGGACTCCATGGGCATCCAGAGGCCTCAAGGGGACCTCCAGGGGCTTCCAGGCACCTCCAGGGGCCTTTAGGGACCTCCAGAAGGTCTTTAGGGGCCTCCAGGGAACTCCAGGAGACCTCCACGGACCTCCACATATATCCAGAGAGCCTCCAGGGACTTCACGGGGCATCCAGGGGCCTCCAAGGACCTCCAAGGGCCTCCAGGGGGCCTCCAGGGACCTCAAAGTGCCTCTAGGGGGCCTCCAGGGACATCCTGGGGCCTCCAGAGACCTCCAAGGGCCTCCAGGGACTTCCATGGTACCTCCAGGGAATTTCAGGGGGCCTCCAGGAACCTTTAGGGATCTCCAGGGGCCTCCAGGGGACCTCCAAGATCCTCCAGGAACCTCCAGAAGTATCCAGGGACCTCAAAGGGCCTCTAGGGGGCCTCCAGGGACATCCTGGGGCCCTCCAGAAACATTCAGCGACCTCCAGGGACGTCCAGGGGCCTCCAGAGACCTCCAAGTAATTTCAGGGGTCCTCGAGGAACCTTTACGGGTCTCCAGGGGCCTCCAGGGACACCCAAGGGGCCTCCATGGTTCTCCAGGGATATCCAGGGCACCTCCAGAGACCTCCAGCGATCTCCATGGTTCTCCAGGGACATCCAGGGCGCCTTTAGGGACCTCCAGGGATCTCCAGGGGCCTCCAGGGACTTTTAGGGGCCTTCGGTAAAGTTTCAGGACCTCCGAGGACCTTCAGGGTTCTCCAGGGTTCTCCAAGAAACTTTAAGGATCTCCAGGGGCCTCCAGGGACCTCCAGGGGCCCTCAAGGGACCTCCAGGGACATTCGGGTGGCTTCCAGGGGCCTCCAGGAGGCCTTTAGGGACCTCCAGGAGGCCTTTAGAGATCTCCAGGAGGCCCTTAGAAGCCTCCAAGGGCCCTCCAGGGACCTCAAAAGGCCTCTAAGGGGCCTCCAGAGACCTCCAGGGACATTCAGAGGGCCTTCTGGGGCCTCCAGGTGGGCCTCCAGAGGCCTCAAGGGACGTCCAGGAGGCGTTTAGGGACCTCCAGGAGGCCTTTAGGGGCCTCCAGGGAACTCCAGGAGACCTCCACGGACCTCCTCAGATATCCAGGGAGCCTCCAGGGACTTCAAAGTGCCTTTAGGGGGCTTCCAATGGGACATCCTGGGGCTTCCAGAGACCTCCAGGGGCCTCCAGAGACCTCCATGAGCCTCCAGAGACCTCCAGGGACATCCTGGGGCCTCCAGAGGCCTCCAGGGACATCCATGGGACCTCCAGGAGCCTCCAGAGACCTCCAGGGAATTTCAGGGGGCCTCCAGGGGCCTCCAGGAATTTTTAGGGATCTCCAGGGGACCTCCAGGGGACTTCCAGGTACCTCAAAGGGCCTCTAGGGGGCCTCGAGAGACCTTCAGAGACCTCCAGGAACATTCAGGTGGCCTCCAGGGGCCTTTAGGGACCTCCAGGAGGCCTTTAGGGGCCTCCAGGGAACTCCAGGGGACCTCCACGGATATCCAGGGAGCCTCCAGGGACTTCAAGGGGCATCCAGGGACCTCCACGGGGCCCCTAGGGTTCTCCAGGGACATCCAGGGCACCTACAGGGACCTCCAGGGGCCTTTAGGGACCTTCAGAGAGGCTCAAGGACCTTTGAGGACCTACAGGGGCTCTCCAGGAAACTTTAGGGGTATCCAGGGGCCTCCAGGGACCTCCAGGGACATTCAGGTGGCCTCCAGGGGCCTCCAAGGACCTCCAGGGGATGTCCAAGGGCCTCCAGGGACCCCTAGGGGCCTCCAGGGACCTCAAGGGGCCTCTAGGGGGCCTCCATGGACATTTGGGAGGCCTCCATGGACATTTGGGGGGCCTCAAGAAACCTCCAGGGGCCTCAAGGGACCTCCAGGGGCCTCCAGAGACCATCAGGGAATTTCGGGGGGCCTCCAGGAACCTTTAGGGGTCTCCAGGCGCCTCCAGGGACCTCTAAGGGGCCTCCAGGGTCCTACTGGGACCTCCAGGGACCTCCTGGGGCCTCCAGGGACCTCAAAGGGCCACTAGGGGGCCTCCAGGGACATCCTAAGGGCCTCCAGATACCTCCAGGGACCTCCAGGAGCCTCATGGGACCTCCAGTGACATTCAGGTGGCTTCCAGGAGCCTCCAGGTAATTCCAGAGGCCTCCAGGGACCTCGAAGCGCCTTTCAGGACCTCCAGGAGGCCTTTAAGGGCCTCCTGGGAACTCCAGGGGACCTCTAAGGGCCTCCTGTGACCTCTGGGGGCCTCTAGGGACATCCTAGGGGCCTCCAAAGACCTCCAGGAACATCCAGGGGCCTCCAGAGACCTTCAGGAACATTCAGGGGGCCTCAAGGGGCCTCTCCGTGCCGTCCTCCACGCTCAGTCCCACAAGGTCTCTGTGCCGTCCTCCACGCTCAGTCCCACAAGGTCTCTGTGCCGTCCTCCACGCTCAGTCACACAAGGTCTCCGTGCCGTCCTCCACGCTCAGTCCCACAAGGTCTCCGTGCCGTCCTCCACGCTCAGTCCCACAAGGTCTCCGTGCCGTCCTCAGTCCCACAAGGTCTCCGTGCCGTCCTCCGTCCCACAAAGTCTCCCTGCCGTCCTCTGTATTCCATATGTATAAGTCGAATTACTGACCATTCCCAGGATGCACGAACTGTATAATAAATTGATTGCTTTGGTAATTATTAATTAATAATTTTTTCACATATATTTCCCAAGACCCATCGGATGTTTGAGGGTGAGGTGCAGAGTACATGTGATGATACAGGGTGCACATGGTGGTACAGAGTACATGTGGGGGGTACAGAGTACATGTGATGATACAGGGTGCACATGGTGGTAGAGTACATGTGGGGGGGAGGGGTACAGAGTACATGTGGTGATACAGGGTGCACATGGTGGTACAGAGTACATGTGGGGGGGGGAGGAGTACAGAGTACATGTGGGGGGGGGGGGTGGAGGGGTACAGAGTATATGTGCGGGTAGTATTGAACCAAATACCCATCCTGTGGGGTGTAATGTGCTAATCCTGTACTAGTGGCTTTACAAGAATGTAAAATCAAACTTCATTTCTATGTTCTCTTTTAACCCCTAAATGTACCTTCTTGTATATAAATAAATAAAATAATAATAAATAATGGTCCCTATTTGGATCCCGTGGGGGGTTGTGGACCCCGTAACCATCCTGTGGAGAGTGTTGGTTCCCATACCCGATAGTACAGTCGGATTCATTCTCGACGCACAATCGAGAATTCCAGGTTCGAATCCCGGGCAGGATAGGAATGATTAGGTACATTTTCTTCCAGCTAATGCCTCTGTTCACCTAGCAGTGAGCAGGTACTCAGGAGTTAGTCAGCTTGTTATGGGGTTGCATCCTGGGCGGGGTCAGTAATTTTGCCTTAGGAATTGGGAGGGGGGTGGGGGGGCTCAGTATAAGTCTACCGTGTATGAATACACTCTGGCTTCCTGTCTTCCCCGACACAATGAATTAAAATTATTATACCCATCCTGTGGGCCGTAGTGAAGTGTACATGCGAGGCTAATTCATTGCATAATACAGAAGGCAAAGTTGCCTTTTAAGAAAGTGTTATCTGTATGCTAAAGTGTTTCAGGAACCAGTAAGCATAATACTGGTTAGTGAACTTGTTATGGGGGTTGCACAACCCCATTATTATCAATAGATTGGGTAGAATTACCTTACCCAATCCAATTTCCAGACTTACAAAGAGTATATTCTGTTGTATATATTATAATTAGGCACCAATTGAAATATTTCATAGAATAATTATTATAATTTACTGAGGATTACCAAGATTTCTCAAAACTAAACTACGAGCCTTCAATAGGATGTAGCTGATCCATGATATTCGAATAGGGTGGAAAATGTTACGTAAATCTCACCAGAAGTGGGAATGGAAAATTAGTTATCATTTAAATTTGATAAAACAGACTATTCTGGTATCTACGGCGATGGGACGGGTACTATGGGTCGTACTATGGTATGTGAGGATGGGTTGGTGCCTGGTGATAGCTAATAACTGTAAATCTACCACATGGAAACTGTGAACATTAGCAGCATAGGAACTATGAGCATTTTGTGACATAAGTAGTATGGTATCCTGAGGACAGGTTGCAACTGTGTAGTAGAAACACTTGCTCAACTCTTGCTCACTTAATTGAACTACTGAACATAGTCTCAAATACAGTAGAATAACCTCATTTTCAGGAGATCCATTTTGAGGCATTTATCTGCCCTCCTTACTTCAGTGCTGATCCTGCTACCAATCACAGCAGTGGTCTGGTTACCCTCCTCTCAGCAAAGCCAATCTGGCTGTCCTCCTGACAGTGATGCCAATCTGGCTGCCTTCATCGTGGTACTGTCTGGGACATTATCAGGACAGTGCTGCATGGGGTCCGCTTCACCAGTGCTGCTGCTTAATGCTAGCAATGCTGGCAATAATCCAGCTGTCCAATTATGCTTACTCGCTCCTGAAACATTTTACCATACAGATATCACTTTCTTAAAAAGCAACTTTCCCTTCAGTATTATGCAGTGAATCAGCCTCAACATAACAAAAGTTACTATAAGATAGAAGTACGTCTCAAATATGACCAATAGATCAGTAGATGCGACTAGTCTCCAAATTTGTGTAGATACACAAATGATATTAATTGATATTAAATGATATTAAAACTATCAATTTTAGAAAGACAAAAAAAGATTAAATAAATTAAAATATGTATTTCAAAATCTTATTCAATACAATCATCTTGGCCTAAAATCTTTGGTAGCAATGAAACTGGTTTGAGACCAGGGGGAACTGTAGCAAAGGTTAGGAATCCTGTATGTCCTGGCATTTTCAGTGGTGTAACTCCAGTTTTAATTCGAAAGTCATTATTTTTGGGCTGTCTTGCATTGTCTGAGGGATTTTCTGGTTTTATTTCCATTTCTGAATCATTTCTTTTGCAATTCTCTTCAACTAATTTTGTTTCATTGGAAGACTGCTCTTCAGTTTTTCTTTTCTTGTTTGGTTCTTGTGGCCCTTCTTGTGACCCCTTTTTCTTGGAATTCTCAGCTTCCTGAAAACAAACATTAATGTATTACAAAAAATGAGTAAGATTTAGCAGACATATTACCTTTTATAGTAATGCATTGATAGCATAAAGGCATGTGCCAAATGTACAGTTTCCCGATCTCCAATACCTGATCTTAACAAAAGACATAAAAACATTTATACTCTGAGCAATTATATCTGCACTGTGTCCTGCTTGGCCACTCAAAAACTGATCACTAAAATAAAACACCAGTGAATACCAAGGTCATCACTCAACCATTAACCAACTTTCATAAGGAGGCAGCTGTACTGAAAAAAGTGAAATTTAGTGTATTAAAAACAGGGCTCTTTCAAGCCATGTCTTACACTCTACTGCAAGATATCGAGGAAAATGCACAAGGTGAACAAGGACAGCATCTTCAAATAAGAGAAAAAGTAGGACAAGAGGACCAGGTGGAAATGCAAATGAGTCAGAAATATAAGGCAATACTCTCTCCTGGTACAAGGGGGTCAATAAGTGAATTGTACTGAAGATGTGGAAGCCACTTCCATTCACAGCTTTAAAACTAGATTCAACAAAAGTTTTGAAATAATTTATAGTTAAATTATAATGCAACAATTATAACTTTCCATACAGTAAGGTAAGGGAAGTGATGCTGCCTTATTTTTAGGAGTAATCTTGCTCAGTGAATATAGTCCTAAATCTGAATTACACCTCAAAATTTTAGTGATCGACCTACATGACGGATCGACTTGTACAGTAATTGTAAGATGCTCTGAGAGGAAAAAGTGAAAGATAACTACTTTACTGCAATTTAATGTTGCCTACAGCTTAAGCATTTTTTTCTTCTGCAATGTACTTCAAAAGAACAGTATGCTTATGAGATGCGAGTAAGCTTATACATCTACCTCAACTAAAATACATTTACATACAGAAATTGTTTACTGATCAAATATAATGACATATAAAGTTATAACATACTTGCTTGCTTTTTGATATCACAGGTAATGATATGCTTTTGACTTGGAATTCTCTTGCCAAACATTCAAGAGTTTTAATTTCTTGTAAACCCATTGAAGCCATAAGCTCACATGTTCGACACACCTACAAGAAAAAGGAAACTTATCAAAGAACTGATACACTTCGTGTAACTCATAAAGTGCTGTGAGTTGTTAAGATTGTAATGACTATAGTTTAATTAATAAATCATACACAGTACTGTATTACAAATGCTACAAAATAAATTACCATGCAAGTTTACAAATAAAATTATTTGTTTGCCTAGAATAAGCCATTTCATTTTCTAAACAGGAGGCAGAAGAAGCATTCTTAAAACCATTTTGCGTAATGACCAATTTTACATATGTAGTGGTATGTACATTCACTTTCTTTTTCTACCATCCTTTTCCTACAGTTTAAAGAGCAATTTTCTCCTCTCTCTCTCTCTCTCCTTCTGCACTCTATGCATCAGTGATCCTTGTTTCTCAATTCTGGAATTTCTTTTAATTACAAATCTTTTTCTTGCCTTGGATATGCCTTACATTTTATCAACTGTGCCTATTCTCAAGCTAAACAATTTTTTATCATCTCAAACCTGTTTCTAACACTAGTACCAGTGTGCTCTGCCTTCCGTTCATATCTGAACTAAAAAATTTCACCAATACCCTTCGTCACCTTGAAGTAAAGTTCGCCTTTCGACAAACTAGCAATCTTCGTAGTAATCTAGTTCACACTACTCCTCTTGGTTCTAATGCTGCTGGTGTCTACTCTATTTCCTGTTCGCCTTGTCATGGTACATGGCTTGGGAAGAAACTGAGTAACCTAAAATCTTAGGAAAAATTGAGTTTAATCCTACATGATTCAGATGATCAGGGTTACAGTGTTCTATACTGTAAATCACTTAACAAATATTTTTGGTATATCTCCTCTCTCTTATTAAAAACTGAATTACCTTTCAGAAACAATGCCAAATACTTTCACATAATGGTGTGAAACACAGACTTTAGTGGTTTTCATCTTTTTGTACGTACATCTGTGGTAAGACTTGACACACAGAAGAATTAGTACAAAAGTTTCCACATTACTACTGACCTGCTCTATGCATGGTGAGAAGGAACATATTCTACCACCACTGCTCTTGAGTGCAGAAACAGCATGAGAAAGAGCTTCCCAGGGTTTAGGGAGGTCAAGAAATACTGCATCAGCTATGCCTTCTACTCCCAGACCTTCAACATAAACATCACGGTGGGAAACGTCAACACGTTCCCCAAAACCATGCCGAGTGAATTCATCCAAAGCTACCTGCAAGTACAAGTATAATATATGTATTACGCATTAAAACAAGTGAATATTTATAATTATTAACTCCATTACCTACATTAAATAACATTAAATATTTTCCATATCTTTTCTCTTTTTCTTTCATTGTCGTGCAATAAATATTTATAGAATTTATTTACATAAATTCAGGAAGATTTTTTGTAGCATACATTTAAAATTGGATACTGAGAGCATATCAAAAGCACTTTCCAGAGCAGCATCTTTGGAAGATACCGGGAGACAAAGGTACAGTTGAACTTTAACACCACAATGCAACTGGGAGATGTGGGCTTAATGTAGCATTGGGAAACAGAAGCAGAGAACCAGAGAAGAAAGAACATACTGACACAGGGATAACATTAGACATTGAAATCAGGTGTGGGTGCACCACAGAAGAACCACACCTGAATGAATATAGGATCTATAGGATCACTCCTAAAAGCCAGTCACATTATTGGCTAAGAATGAAAGGCTGGGATGGAGATGCACAAAGGCATTCACATGACCAAACAAAATAAGCTCCTGCTGCTCATAAACACCCTTGCAATTTCACCAAGGACATCTGCACGGCACTAAGTGGCTGTGTGTGTGTGGAGCAACCAGCTTGGATAAGTCAAAATAATCTCAGCTATGCCGGCAGAGGCCACCTTGGGTCCTGACACTGCCTTGGAGTCCTGTACAGCACTGACCCTGCCACTTGCTTCCATCCGTATTTATTCAACTTTCCCAAACCATATCCAGTCACATGTCTTCCACACACCCATAAGCCCTGTCCTTGTCACAGATTGTCCCCAACTGTTGCTTCCGGTCATCACCAGAAACCCTTCTGGAATGCCGCCTCTTCTCGTGTCCTAGAGAAGCCATCCAGCCTACCATGACCAGTGACCCTCTCACACTTGCCATCCGGATCGCAGGTGCCAACCATCACACAGCCCCAAATCCATTCATCACGCTCATAAACTACTTAAACACGCTCATATACTGCTTCTGCTGCCAATACGTTTGAGAGAGAACTACTAACTAGATTCTACTCAATCTGGATACAACAAAATCTCCGGAAATAGAACGTGTCTTAAGCATCAAAGAGCACATGGAATTGAACCTGGGAAAGTTGCCGAGTAATCAAACTAAAGCATTGAAGAGCATTAAGAAAAACTGTCCTGGAGCAAAATGCCCTCCACAGAAGATAACATCATTCAGGAAGGGTTGAAGGACACCCACAGCTTCCTCAACTGCTCCAAAAACCAGTCATCAAATCCCCAGGGCAGAGCCATAATGGGTTGTGGAGTTCTCTGGGGTAACAAAGTAGGCCAGAGAACTTCTCAACTGATGGCACCTATACCAGAGATATAACTTCAAGGAGCCAAAAGGGGATTCCCCAGAAAACCCAGTGGAATGTATAACTTGAACTAGAATAAAATTATAATTTCATAGTTATGTTACACACCTTGTGCATAACACACACAAAATGCCATATTTTATCTCTTATTTCAGTTAAGTTAGGTTAGGATAAGATAGGATGGGTCAGGTTGAATTCAGTTAGGTTTACTTAAAGAGTAGTGATGATGTAGAGTGATGAAAACTTTCTCAGGTCTTAGACTAAACTCCTAAAACCAGTGTCATTTACACATTTACCTGAGCTCTTTCCTTATGAAAGTCACATGTATACAGTTTGCCTGTAGGTCCAATGGCGCGAAGTAGTGCATGAGACAGTGATCCACTTCCTGTGCCAGCTTCACACACAACAGACCCAGGACCAATCTCCAACTGTGTCACCACCTGAAAAATCATTGCAACAATACTTAAAAATATTAAATTAAATACAAAACCTTGCCAAAGAATATTAATCAAATAATGTTTTTGTATTACAGTATATTCATTCAAATAATATTTTCAAACCTAGTATACTCATTCCAATATTGTCTCAAGTTTATCATTATAAACATTGCTTACAAATGTTTACTGTACTAACAAAAAACCAACATTGAATGTAATAAAACCCCAATTTCTAGGTATGAGCCCAAAGTATAGTATATATTATACTATACTTTACTATTATAGTAAAGTATTGAGTATAAAGAAGTCACAAACCTGGCAAGCCCAATATGTCCCTAGCACACTAGTGCAAAAAGCTCAGACCAGTTTTAGAGATATCGATAAACTAACTTGAAGCACATGAAGAAGCTTGGAAATTAGCCCTTACCATGGATATATCAGGGGTGTAGAGGATCTGTGTACGATGTGGCAATGTCACAGTCCAAAGTTCAGGAGTTGGGTACAGCACATGAGCCCAGCCTTTGGACAAGCTCACCTTGGATCCATACTTCACACCAATTAGATTCATTACCTTCAGGGATCCATATCGGGTTTGAAAGACATTGTCGACTGATTGCCCAATCTTGTTAACTACTTTAGGTTTGACCTGAAATATACACATACTTAACACATCATAACAAAGACATATGCTATGGTACTGGATTTATTGCTATGGTATTTACATAGATTTGAGTAGCATTTAAATTATCAATACTGAAAAAATGTAAATATGGCAGTGAGGCCTTTAAAAATTATCTTCTATGAGCACCTCTATGATTGCTTCCTAAGGCAGGGCTCCCCCCCCCCCTGAACACTGCTCACATGCCAGGCTTTCATCTAATGACACACAGGACAAGGACCTTTTCAAATAACAAACACCACAATCATGGAAGATCAATAATAAAATAATTATTATTAAAATTAAAATAAATATTATGAGATTTAAGACATGTAAAACTCTTAGGAACTGTAAGGAAAATAAAATTATGCAAAAAAAAAAAAAAACAGCGTTGAATGTAATGAAACGCCATTTTCTGGGTGAGACCCGGAGGCTCCCCGGAGCTTTACCGGCTGATATGCTAATGTCAGACTTTGGCATCAGTCATGTGTATGGAGTTCTAGGGCCTACCGGGGACCACGAGCCAGAACCTGGCCCCCTCAGAGAGGCAAGGGGAGCAATGGCCTATAGAAACCCCCGTGTGGTTGGAAGCATTCTATGTCTGCCATCGACCGGGTCAAGCATCCAGAAAGGTAAGCATTCCAAAACAAACCCCTATTCTGGTGAAAATTGCTACCTAAGCCGAACTAGTGGATAGAACTCTTCAACAGAAAACAAGGAAACTAGTATGACGTCATACGTCACAGCGCCGCTGTCTGCGCAGCTCCCCCCTCCCCGGGAGGGGGAAGGGGGAGCCCCAGACCTCCCACGCCGGCTATCCACCCATCAGTTCTGAGGCTGGATGTCAAAACACGCGAAAAACGCCGACCGGAGGGAGGGAGGGTTGCCGGGGAGCCTCCGGGTCTCACCCAGAAAATGGCGTTTCATTACATTCAACGCTGGTTTTCTGGGGGGAGCCCCGTCGGCTCCCCGGAGCTAACTACCCCAGAGGAAGGTCAAAGGGACAGAACCGGGAGGCGGACACCACGCACCCCCAAGGAGGCAAGACAACCGGCAGCAAACGCCAACCCAAGGCGCCACAGCCCCGAAAATCCCGGGAACAACACGAGAACCACGAGCAGCAAGGCCCCTGCACGAACACCAAAAATCCATGCCCGAAAGACCGCACGGCCACGTCGCCCAGACGGCAGCGAGAGCAGCGAAGCCACGAACGCCACAGGCATGAGGGAAGAACACAGGCAGCTTAGCCGCAAGAACACGGCTGACCACCCGGGACACTATCACCTGCGAACCGGGAAGAACAGAACCGGATCAACGCAAAATGCGCTCCGGACCCAAATGCCGTGGCACGCAAACAACAGCGGAGGGCCGCCACTGAACACAAAAACGACACACCCCTGGCCCGACCAACGAAGCACCAACAAACCCTGGACCCCTCCAGAATGCAGCAGCCCCACCCCGCGCCAGAAAAGATGGAGATTGCTGCCACCAAACAACCAAAACGCTAAAACCGAAGGAGCAAGAAAACTCAGCGACTCGACCCCCAGAGGCAAAGGCCCAAAGGAAAGAGCCGACGAAAAAACACACCGGAACCGAAGGGGCACTACCAACCGAGGAGAAGACAGAGCACGCTGACCAGAGACCAGGATGGTGCAAGCGGCGCACCAACAGGCCGGAGGTGAAACGACGCACAAGACAGCTTACTAACGGTGCAGAAGCAACACCAAGACCGAAAGCAAGCTGAAGCGGATCCGCCTGCGCCGCACGAAAAGAGGCGACAGTATGTGGCAAGACGATGGCCCCCAACCCCCACTAGAAAACCAAGCCGAGAGTAAACCAAGCTAACAAGAGTAACCACCTAAGAAGGGACAGGAAAAGGAAGGACCGCCAAAATACCCCATACTGCCGCCAAGAGAAGCACGCAGGTGGGACACCTACCACGAAGCCACCCGACCACCAACCGGAGGCGAGACCACGAGGCAGAACATAAGCAGCCCCGACAAGGCCCTCCGAGTCCAGGAAAAAGGCGGAGCCGCGAGAAGATCTTGGGCGCGACCACCGAAACCCAGGCGGCACAAGGAGATGGAACGTCTGCCGAACAGAAAAACTCCCCAAAGCATGCAAGCCCGCCAGGAGTTCAGAAACGACGGGTCCGACGCGAGACATCGCAAGACAAAAAAAAAAAAAAAAAAAAAAAAAAAAAAAAAAAAAAAAAAAAAAAAAAAAAAAAAAAAAAAGCAGGGCAAGCTAGGAAACCAAAGAAGGCGGAAGGGTCGCCGCCAGAACAGGACCTGAACCAAGGGGCATGAACAACTGCAACAGACCGAGACAAAGAAGCACATCACAGAACACAGGCTGACCAACGCCTTAGAACACACGCAGAACATCCCTGCTGCAGAGGAGGCAGGAAGAAAGAGCAGAAGCACAAAAAACCCCAGGAGAACAACCAGGGGTGGACAATCAGGCAGGGACAAAAACCCCACGCAATCCATAGGCACAAAACGGCAGCAAAGTGCCACTCCACAACCGGACACAGGAACAAGGACACGCCACCGTGAAACACGGTACCAATGCACACGTGCAGCAGCAGCAACAGGCACCACTGCAACATGCAACATGTAAATAGCAACTCCCCTCTGCAAAGGCAGAGAACGGAGCAGGCAGACCCCAGACAGGGCCAACGGAGACACGACAAAACCCTGCAGGCCCAGAAACCTGCACCAGGCGACCGACGGCGGAGAAACCCCACTCGATACCTGCTGGATGAGGTACTGGGAGCTCTTTTACACCTGAAGCCCGGCCCAAGGTCAGGCTAGACCGGCCAGAGGATGGCCCACCAAGCAGCTGCTAGGAGCAGTCCACCGGCCCACATACCCCCACAACCAGGACGGGCCGGAACTGCCATACGAAAACAGGCCAGTGCGCCCTGGAAGTCCACGGACGAACCAGCAAGAAGGCTTATGCTCGCAAGTAGGTCGTGTAACAAGCACAGACCTCTGATGGTAATACAGTGTTCCCCAAAGGTGCCAATAGCACCACTGCACTCCACTGGTACTATCCCGCAAGTTCTACCAGATAGGCGGGACCCAAGAGCCAGAGCTCAAATCCTGCAAGCACAGCCAGGAGCCTTACCAGGTGAGTACAGAACCAACCCCACAACCCCCACACCTCACAACATTAAAAAAGGAGGGTCCCCTGAATGACTCCAGCATGGGTTGGACATGCACATGAGGGGAACAGGAAGGGGTGATAAAGGGACAGTCACTGGTGTGCGAACGGTCTCAGTCGTACAAAAATATACCTAAATAAAGACAGGTATATAAACACCGCCGCATCCAGCGCCCGGCCAAAAGACGCCAGACCGCAGAAACTCACCTGGCGAATGGTGGCACGAACTTGACACGACTCAACCGTGCCCAGAAGAACTTGGGAGCACCGCCAGGTGAAGACACTAGAGCCGGACCCTGCCGGACCCGCAGGAGAGCAGGGAGAGGCGAAGGAGGCGGTCCACACCCATGACACAGGGAAAACCGCGGTGTCCTCCCCACAACTGGGAACCAGGACACCCCCGGCGCGAAGGGGCACATACCGCAGCCAGGGAGAAGAACGAGAGGCGAAGCACTGTAGCAAAAAAGGGCGCAAAACACCAGCACTGAAACACCACCCAGACCAAAACAAACTCCACGGCGCATGTGCATAACACGCTGGCAGAACCGCACACCCTCCCTGCGGGAAGGCGCCAGCCAGGACTACTGCACGAGAAAAGTAGCCAAAAGAGGAAGCAGGAACAATAAAACCGGCCAAAGAAGCAAAGAGCCCAAAAAGGAACCCAACCGGGCGACAAGTAGCCCAACCGGTCGACAAGTAGCCCAACCGGGCGACAAGTAGCCCAACCGGGCGACAAGTAGCCCAACAGGGCGACAAGTAGCCCAACCGGGCGACAAGTAGCCCAACAGGGCGACAAGTAGCCCAACAGGGCGACAAGTAGCCCAACAGGGTGACAAGCAGCCCAACAGGGCGACAAGCAGCCCAACAGGGCGACAAGCAGCCCAACAGGGCAACAAGCAGCCCAACAGGGCGACAAGTAGCCCAACAGGGCGACAAGTAGCCCAACAGGGCAACAAGTAGCCCAACAGGGTGACAAGTACGAGGAGCTGACAGACGTTCCAATAATGCGGGAAGTAGCGAAAAACCTTCCCGTACCCTCGAGAACACAGAAGCCAACACTAGTCCCGAAGGCGCAGGCGCACCCGAGATCAGAAGTCACGCAGAACCCCATCGAACGGGGAAACATGACCAAAACACCGTCCCAAAAAGGGGTGGGAGGAAACATCCACCCACAAGACGGAACCAACCGACTCAAAGGCCAAGGAACCGAGCCCAGGGAGGGGCCGACGTCCAACAGCACGTACGGCGAGTGGTGAGGAAAGACCCCACTCCGCGTAACCACAAGCCCCGCCTTGTGGTTACGGGGCTTATGGTTACTTACGGGGCTTGTGGTTACTGTAACCACAAGCAACGCCCCCCCCTCGCTGGAAGTGAAGGGGGGACTCTGGGGTCACATCCATCGGACCCGCGCGCCCCCAGGGGTTTCCCAGGGTCCCGAGCGTTTACTTTAAGAGGACTCGCGCTCAGGTAATCCCAGGCAGGGTACTGCTAACCGGCACCCAAAGCTACCAAACAACTTTCTAAGAGCTGAACCCCCGGGATGTGTACACTCACGGGGACCTAGCAGGGGTACCACCAGAAAATACTCAGAACACAAGGGATACAAGGGGCAAGAACGAAGGCAGACCCCCCCACCAGGTAGATAAACAAAAAGAAAAAGAAAACCCCGCAAGAGGACAGCGTACCCAAGCGGGACAGAGCCGGCCGCTATGATTGGTAAAGACAAGCTGCACAGTACCCTGCGCCCCACCAGTGCAAACACTGCCCCTTACTCTAAGGCAAACAAGGGAGACAGAACACCCGAGCACACAAAGAGCAGC